ACATGTTAGTCCCATATGAACCAGCCCGGACTCTGAGGAGCACAGGGACTGGACTCCTGCTGGGACTCTGAGGAGCACAGGGACTGGACTCCTGTTAGTGTCCAGAGTCAGAACTAACGTGGGTAGGCTGCCTTTCAGATTCACACTGCTAAAATCTGGAACAATCTTCCTGAAGATGCGAGACAGGCCTCCTCTCTGACAATGTTTAAGACAAGGTCAAACATATATTTCTATCCTTCTTTTTAATGTTCTGTGAATATCTATGATTTTAATGCTTTCTTATTTTGTTCAGCACTTTGAATTGCCTTGTGTATGAATTGTGCTATACAAATAAACTTGCCATGCCTTGCTATACAACATGCATTCACATACGCCATTATGCGCGTGACAGGGCCATGAAGCTAAACGCACTTTCTTCACCTTATGGGAGCGTCCAAATCAGACAGGCGTCAAAACTGCAGATTCCTCTTCACCCTGAGCGAGCAATATTACATTAGGCCTTTGTCTAGGGAGCAACCAAATCAGAGAGGCGCCAAAGCTGCAGATTCCTATTCACCCTGAACGTGCAATATGTCGTTAAGCCTCGGAGACCGATACATTAAGCCTTAATACGAACAATTCGGGCCTTAGAAGGAGACTGATTAGGGAAGACTCCAAAATGTAATTTTGCATGCCACCAAGCACGCTGGAGTTTGAACTGTCTCGCGGAGGAGACTTGAGCAGCAGTGACACGGAGCCTGGACGTGTTTAAGGAGCGGCGCCAATAAGCACTGACGAGCAGATCAGAGCGGGTCAAAGCAGGAACAGACCCCAAACAAACGATGGCACGGGACAATCACGGGCCCGGGACAAGCGGGTACAACGCAACCACAATGCGATTCATACGGGCAAACAGACCATGTCACGCCAGCGTGCGCCGCTTGTCTCTGTGAGCCAGGTTACATACGTGTCTGAAAGAGCCGAGTCGTAGAGAGGTGCAGCCTGGGAGCGGCAGCGGCAGGAACAGCAGCAGCGGCACGTGTAGTAGTAGGAGCAGCAGGAGCAGGCAGCAGCAGGAGCGGCAGCAGGAGCGGCAGCAGGAACAGGCAGCAGCAGGAGCGGCAGCGGAACAGGCAGCAGCGGGAACAGGCATCAGTAGGAGCAGCAGGAGCAGGCAGCAGGAACAGGCTGCAGCAGGAGCGGCAGCAGGAACAGGCAGCAGCAGGAGCGGCAGCGAAACAGGCATCAGTAGGAGCAGCAGGAGCAGGCAGCAGGAACAGGCTGCAGCAGGAGCGGCAGCAGGAACAGGCAGCAGCAGGAGCGGCAGCGGAACAGGCATCAGTAGGAGCAGCAGGAGCAGGCAGCAGGTACAGGCAGCGGTAGGAGCAGCAGGAGCGGCAGCAGGAACAGGCAGCAGCGGGAACAGGCATCAGTAGGAGCGGCAGGAACGGGGAGCAGGCATCAGTAGGAGCAGCAGCGGGAACAGGCATCAGTAGTAGCAGCAGGAACGGGGAGCAGGCATCAGTAGTAGCAGCAGGAACGGGGAGCAGGCATCAGGGAACAGGCATTAGTAGGAGCAGCAGGGACCGGCAGCAGCGGCGGTCAGAGAACCATGCCCATGGTTGTTTAAGAGCCTCAGGAAGCGTTGTTTGTCAGAAGTGGCTGCCTTTTAAACTGCCCGCTTTGCTCTGAGAGGGTTGGCAGGAGGCTGGCCTGGCTGTGTGATTGGCTGAGGCTCGAGGCTGGCAGAGCTGTGTGATTGGCTGAGGCTCGAGGCTGGCAGAGCTGTGTGATTGGCTGAGGCTCGAGGCTGGCAGGCACTCGGTCTTTCAGTCTGAACATCCGCTTGAGCTTCATTATATAACACATAAACACAAACATTTAATTCAAAAGTAATCAAATAAATCATAAATGTATGTGAGTAACCTTCTAAAAAAACCAATATTATAGAGTCTAATGTATATCTTGAATGTGAAATGAGGACACAGAGTTAGGACTCACATCGTGAGCTGTGATTGGCTGGCCTGACTCTCTCTGTTCCTATAAGAACTCAATGATTTCAGCTTTGGTTCACTGACTACTGCCGCTCTCTGTGTAATACTGCGCCATGGCTTTTATCTGCCTCCTTCTCATCCTCTTGGGTAAGTAACCAACCATTTCTCATGCTATTTATCTCATGGAATCATATGATACTTTGATATTTCTCTCTTTAGGAGCCTTTTCAACCTGGTCCCATCCCACTCTGCTGCTTCACCAAGTTGGGGAGAGTTCAGTGTTGCCGTGCAGCTGTCGAGACGGTGATTTTGCAGCGTGCTACTGGTACAAACAAGCTGTTGGGCTCAAACCACTTAAAATTACTTCTTATAAAATATATGAAAATATAACAGAAATCCACCGTAAAGAACTCGGTGATGAACGTCAACGTTTTAGCCTTAATAACACAAACAAGGACAATACCTTGACGATTGCAGATTTGCAAGTTGCTGATGCTGCGGTGTACTTCTGCATCGCAGCCAATTTATACGACATGTGGTTTTTGAAGGAGATTACCTTGGATGTAACAGATGCCAGGATTGCAGACACACGTTTTGTTTTAGATTGGACGCCAGAGAATTCCGATGCCAAAACAAACTCTGAGAAACTGGATTGCAGCTTAAGTGATGGAAAAGGCGAGATTTTTTGGTTCAACCCCTTAACTCATTCACTGCCCATGACGACAAAACTCGTCATGTTGAATAGTAACGCTCACTGCCCATGACGAGTTTGACGAGTTTTTCGTGTTATTACACGGGAGGCTACAGTAATGTCTGGCGCACCTTGTGAATGACCCACAATACTGATATATAGTGCAAATGTACCTGTAATGATAAATCAACACCAGTAGGATGCAGTATTGCACCACAAGAGAGGTCATAAGTCAGTGGAGAGAAGGAGGAGGAGTGTGGGAGTGTTGGAGAGCGTGGTGCTGTAGCAGAGCGATGATAGCGTAGCATTGAGACGGATCAGCGATCTAGTTTAGCGATAGTATAGCAAGAGTGATGGCGAAAAAGAATAGTTATAAGCAGTGTACACTGCTTCAGAGATTGACTCGCGGATCAGTGAGTGAGGTCGAGAGGGGAGAGAGTGGAGACCCCGGTGGAGGTCCGTCTCTGCAGCTACATTTGCGCGGAGCAAGAGCAGACACACCTTCCGCCTCTCGCAGCGTATCAGCTGCTGTTTTTACTGATGCCTCGGATTCGTTCAGCAAACCTGATCATGATTTATCGGATGAGTGGTTGCAGTCTCAATCCAGCAGAGCATCCTCTCCAGAAGCTCCACAAAGAGTCGAAGGTAAGAACTTGCTAAATTGCCTAGAATATGCTAACTTGAGAGGAGGGAAAGGCGCGGAAACTTGCTCTGATCTGCAAAGTAACACAGCGCTCAAATCCTACTGTTTCTTTAGTAAATGCCAGTTATGCGTTTTATCATTGTTGTATTTATTATTTTTATGTTTAGTTATTTCATACTTGAACATCTTGTTGTAGTGTCATAGCTCTGACTAAATGAAATGTGTTCTCCATTCACAGATTCTGATAAAAGAGCCCTCCCCCATTGGGGTTGACAGGGCATGGAGGTAAAGATGATTCCTCCTCATACCACTGTACATATTATTGTATATATTCTCCTGGTATAGTGATTTACAAATGTATATTATTTACAGGTGGTGCATCAAGAGGCAGTTGCTGTGCACAAAAAAGGTAAAAGAACTACTATTTCTATTCTTGTACATCCCATGGCAATATAATATAATAATAATAATATAGTATACTGTGTTTGGTCCAAAAGTAGTCAGTCAATAATGTGGGAGGAAGGCCTTCATTGTATTTTATGTATTGATTTATTGTAACAAATTCACTGTATAATATAGTTATTGTGTGTATCCAATTTCCAGCACGTTCGTCACCCAGAAGCTCTGGGGAAGATGGCTGACAGGAGGATGAGTGGGAGCCGAGTCAGTCCCTTCACAGGAGCTCCTGGACCTCAGAGACTGCGGACAGAGGCTGCGAAGCTGGATTCATCTGATCCATCTGACTTTCTGGAGCTGGATTCATCTGATCCACCTGACTTTCTGGAGCTGGATTCATCTGATCCAGACTTTCTGGAGCTGGATTCATCTGATCCAGACTTTCTGGAGCTCTTCTTCACGGAGGAAGAACTACAAATGTCACATCGTGTCGTGTTCCGTTGCACACAGTGTTTCAACCTCTACAACTCAAAGCTGAACTACTGGGAAGACTGAAAAAGCAGATAAACTCACTCATACACACACTCACGAACACTCACACGCACTCACTCACTCACTCACGCACACAGACACTCACTCGCACACTGACATTCACACACACAGACACTCACTCGCACACTGACATTCACACATTCACATGCTTCATTCTATTTTATACATCTATAGTTTTATTGATCTTTGTGTTGTTGTTGTTTGACGTTTTGGTTGATGGTATAGAAGAAAGTAAAATTTTCTATCTGTGAATAAATTGCCAACAGTTTGCCATCAAAAGTATTATTTCAGAGTCATGTTTTTATAATTTTTGTAATGGAACAAGTGTGAAGATGTTTTGAGTTGTCACTAAAGCAGCAAAAAAGCATCTAAAAGTCTCTTTTCTGCTTGATATGTTCCTGTTTACACACAGCTCGTTTTCTCTGTTTTCTTGCTCAGACCAGGTGTTATGGGTGAAAGTATGCTTTGTTCTATGGCGAATAGCTCAAGAACGGTAAGAGGTAGAAACAAACTGTTTTTTTCAGAGTAAAGCAGAGAGGTTAATCTTTAATTTGGTGCCCTTGGTGTTTACATCGTCTAAAAAATGAATATTCTGTGGCACTTCAAAGTTGGGTCAAATCACCTGAAATTGCTGGCAGAACGCACTTCTCAAATCTGAAAATGCCTGGCAGTCAGTGAGTTAAAGGAGCCGTTGAAGGGGGTTCTTTACAAACATGGAGGCAATAGGGATCAGTCTGAGGGCGAGATGGACACTTTTGGGAACTGTGTCTACAACCTGCCAGAACACGGCGACAATTCAAGCAACGATTGGAGAAAATGTGCCGTGGCCTCGTGCGGGAAACTTCTCTATGGGACATATGATCAACCCGAAGGTAAGGAGGTACAGTTTAGTGGTTTTCATTGGTTTTGTTGCATTTGATCCAGTGACTGTTAAGTACGTACAGTGTGGTTAAGAACTGGTTTTGGATGAGGATATGGTTAACTCAGGGGTAATTCACTTTCAAACTAGAGAAACGGTAAGAAAATGTACCAAACTTTAGTAGTAGGTGGAGGAGTGAGAGAGAGGACCATTCTCACAAAGACAGATCTATAGTAGCTCCCAGGGCTTTATTACAGTAAGTAAAGGTTCTAACAAATTCTAAGGTTTTTTAAAGTTTTTTCTTGCCAATGCAGGAGGGTCTAAGGAAAGTGATGAATCCAGGACACTCCACTTTCAGAGACATTTATGGACACTGGTCTCTGCCCCTTATGGCTCTATGTGTTTTTATTATATTTATTTTATTTTTCAGGGACATTATGCATCAATACAATTTTTAAAAAACATAAACATTCTGTACATTCAGCAGAATTAGTCCCTGAAGGCTATTTTTCATCTGCAGTCCCTGGACAGGCGTACATAGTCTCCCTAAAGATAACACTGCATTTCATTTGTTTGAACTGTTTTTCTGATCTGTATTGGCGAATCGACGGTTTTGTAATGTCCTCTGTGAAAACTGCTGTTGTAATTTAGGGCAATACAAAAATAAATTAAATTGAATTAATTTTGTGGGTCTGTAACAGTAAAAAAGCCACATGCAGACAAGCCAAATCTTTAGGATCTGTATTATGTAACAATTCTGGTTGTTGAAGAAAGTTGAGTTGAGTTTATCTTTGCATTGTTCCACTCGGGTCGGGTTTGGGTCTAGGCGGTAATTGTGCACTCATGTGATTCTTGTCTCTCGTCTTTTAAAATGGCTGCACATAGTTCACCTTGGAGAGACCCATGAGGGAAAATGCAGTTAGAAGTTTAGGATTAAGCATGTTTGGCGCCCTAGGCCCGGGAGAGATGCTGTTGAGCGCGGCGCTTGATCGCGCGCATAATCCCCCCGGGGCCTAGGCACTGGTGACGGCAGAGGCAGTAGGCAAGCACGCTTCGATGAGAGAAGGAGGAGGTGGGGCGGCGGAGGCTTGCAGACTTCAGAAGGCCGGGAGGTGGGCATCTCCGGCTTTTAACTTGCTGTCCTGGTGGTTATTGGTGGATTAGATGTGGGCGTTTCTGGTATGATGAGTCGAGGATGAGCATGCTTGTAGATCTGGGCAAGCAGCAGCCGGGTCTACCACAGTGAACTTTCGCGAAAGCTCCATTTCACCTTGGAGAGACCCATGAGGGAAAATGCAGTTAGAAGTTTAGGATTAACCCTTTAGGCGCCGGAGTTTTTTCAAGAAAATATACAATTTTGATTTCAAGATTTCAAAAGGCTATAACTTTAAAATGGTTTGAGATAAAGGCATACTGTAAATTAGAAATATCTTCAGTTTGAACCAAACTTTGGGATGGAAGTTGATTCGTCATCTAATTTGCATATTGTGACGTCATCAAGGTGGCGGCCATTTTGGAAAATGTTAATTATAGTATAAAGACTTCAAAAAGCTGTAGCTTGGGAGTTATTTGAGATCAGGGAATACTATAAACAGTCAATGTGAAATATCTTTAGTATAAAATGAATTTGGGATAGAAATAAATTCCCTGATCCAGATTATAGATAATGTTTTAGCACTGGTTCGCGGCCATATGGAATTGTATTATTTTCAAAGACCTTCAGTGATCAAGACAGCACTCTTTATAGTTTACAGTCATGAAATCTTGAGATTGGTTTCAATATTTCCCTTTCAAAGAAGTGGTGGGCTTACTATTTTTCTCAGTGGAAATGTGGCTCAAGGATTTACCGTTTACAAACAGAGAGATGAAATGAATGGGCTCAGAACTTGTCAGATCGTCTCAACAACATACAACAGACTCTTCAACACTTCTGTGGATTATTTTCTCTCAAGAACTGCCTTCATCCTCATCATCACTATTGGTAAAGGCAGTGAACGCGATTAGCGATGTGGTTTTTTTTTTCTGCGGCTCTCCCGCGACTTCTCCCGCGTCTCCCGTGTTCCCCGTGGATGTCTACCCCCGCTACTTTCTCCCACATGCCCGGTGTAATGATGCCCCTGTCCCCTCGACCACGGCCCCTGCTTGGCGTTCACAGAATGCTTCTACCGCGGCCACACGGAGGACAAGCAGCCGCTGTACAGGGGCTGATTGTGGACTATGGAGCGCGGTCTCCCCGTCACTAATAATATCCGTGTCTGCTTCACTGGACACCTGCATGTCTTCCTCCTCTGATTCTGAGTCAGCTAGTACCAGACCAAGTACTTCTCTGGTACTGAAGACCTCGTGAGTAAATAAAAACACTCTTTCCCTCTGCTCTGCTCTCGCTCCTCTCAGCTCTACCGCAGCTGCTTCGCCTCCGCGCTGCTGCGCCGCAGGTGTTTTACAAACTCAATTTACTCAAAAACTTTCAATATAACCACACCCACAAATGCTGCTCATATCACAGCCACACATGTCCACTAACCCCTGGTGACAAGTATTAACAAGATTCTGCACCACATTTTTACATACAGCCTGTTTAAGTGAGCAATGTTGCTTGTCGCAATATTGCGACTTTGGCGCTTAAAGGGTTAAGCATGTTTGGCGCCCTAGGCCCGGGAGAGATGCTGTTGAGCGCGGCGCTTGATCGCGCGCATAATCCCCCAAAAAGCGGGCCTGCGATGGGATAGCAGGACGCACTGCGCAGGCCTGAGAGCATGAGTGCGAGGCTTCTCGCACGGTCGCTCAGCCAGGCTGCGTCCGCTGGGCATCTTTGAGCGCTGGGAACGTGAGCGCTCGCATCACGTTCGACCAGACGCTGCAGCAGAGTTATCTTTGAGCGCCGGGACGTGAGCGCTCGCATCACAATCAACCGGACGCTGTAGCAGGGTTATCTTTGAGCGCCGGGACGTGAGCGCTCGCATCACGATCAACCGGACGCTGTAGCAGGGTTATCTTTGAGCGCCGGGACGTGAGCGCTCGCATCACGATCAACCGGACGCTGCAGCAGAGTTATCTTTGAGCGCCGGGACGTGAGCGCTCGCATCACGATCAACCGGACGCTGTAGCAGGGTTATCTTTGAACGCCAGGACGTGAGCGCTCGCATAACGATCAACCGGACGCTGCAGCAGGGTTATCTTTGAGCGCCGGGACGTGAGCGCTCGCATCACGATCAACCGGACGCTGTAGCAGAGTTATCTTTGAACGCCGGGACGTGAGCGCTCGCATAACGATCAACCGGACGCTGCAGCAGAGTTATCTTTGAGCGTTTGAGAAAAGTGCGTGCCGCCACCAGAATCTTATTGCTTCACTTACTTTGCTTCGTATTGCTTTGCTGGGAGCTTACGAGGAAGCCAGTAGACGTTGTGCTGCCAGGATAGCAAAAGCATCTGGCCTGATGTAGGTGGAGAAGCCGAAGAGGACCAGCGCCCCAGCTGTTGCAGAGAAGAGTGGGGGAGCCCCAGTGAGGCCGCGCCTATCCTGAAGGAGTGGGCTGTATAGAGCTGGGGAGACAAATTGCAGAGGAGCAGTAGGGATCTTAGCTGAGCTCTGAACCAGGTTGCTGTCATGGGAAGGTTGTCTGGATTGAGAATAAGAGGTCCGTTAAAATCTCCTTTTTGCAGCGGAGGCGAGTGTAACGCATCATGGACCTGTAGGGGCAGAGAGATGTGTCGGAGCAAGCTATTATTATGTTGCAGGCGCCTTTGATCTTTGAATGTTTGAGATGAAGGTTGAAATGGTCAGGGGACATTATGTTGGGTGAAGAAGGCGACCTTTGTTTAATGCTTCCACTACGTCGAGATTATCACACATGACAGAGATCCTCTTTCTCTGCCACGTGTGATTCCACAGCGCGCAGGCCACGACCGCTGGGAATATCTCGTGTAGGGCAGAGGAGATGCTCCGGTGGAAGTAGCGGCCACGGCCCGGCGAACCACTGGTCCTGGAAGAACCCCCCAAAACCCACGGAAGGGGCAGCATCCGTGTAGAAGCGGAGACCTGTAGGGGCAGAGACATATCGGAGAGGGCCATTGATGTTGCAGGCGCCCTTACGCTTAGGATCTTGGGTTGGAGAGTAGATAATCAGGACAGTAGGATGGTCGGGAAAGCCGTGTCTCGGACCGCATTGAAGGTTGAGTGAGCAGTAGTGAACTCGCTTATGCAGAGAAGCCATAGAAGGCGAGCAGGAAGATGCTGCGAGGAGGGCAGACATGTACTTGGAAGATGAGCCGGAGTTCAGTGCCGCTCAGAGCTGCTGCAGGATGGGCAGCATGATGGGGAGCCTGCAATCAGAAGAGTGAAGAATACAGGTATGGATGCCTTTGATTAGGAGTCAGATTGACAGCTCAGCGCAGCTACTCGGCCAGCTGCATCTGATAGAATCAGAAGATTAGGTAGATTAAGTAGAGAGATGAAGCATGACCGCCGAAGCGACCCTGGGAGCATAGGTGCGAGTCCAGCGCAGCGCGGCATACTCAGCCGGGCTGCATCCATTAGAAGCAGGATAAGCTTCTGAGAGAGTGGGTTGCAGCAGTAGCAGTAGCAGCAGTGGCAGCAGCAGTAACCTCAGATAATAACAGCAATAATCATGTATCAAGCCGCGGCAGCAGCAGTAGCAGCAGCAGCAGCAGCATCCTTAAAAAATAACAGTAATAATCCTGTATCAAAGCCACAGCAGTAGAATGTTGTTGTAGCTGTTCAGTGTTTCAGTAAAAGAGATGCAAGTGAAGAGAGATGTCAAAGTAAATGAAACAGCAGCAGCAGTAGCAGTAGCAGCAGTAGCAGTATGAAGCAGCAGCAGTAGCAGTGGCAGCAGTAGCAGTATGAAGCAGCAGCAGCAGCAGCAGTAGCAGTATGAAGCAGCAGCAGCAGTAGCAGCAGCAGCAGTTGCAGCATCCGTAGATAATAACAGCAATAATCCTGTATCAAAGCCACAGCAGTAGAATATTGTTGTAGCTGTTTCGTGTTTCAGTAAAAGAGATGCGAAGTGAAGAGAGATGTCAAAGTAAATGAAGCAGCAGCAGCACGGCAGCAGTAGCAGTATGAAGCAGCAGTAGCAGCAGTAGCGGCAGCAGTAGCAGCAGTAGCGGTAGCAGTATGAAGCAGCAGAAGCAGCATTAGCAGGAGCAGTAGCACCACAACGCGATTCATACAAACAAACAGACGTGTCACGCCAGCGTGCGCCGCTTGTCTCCGTGAGCCAGGTTGCATACGTGTCTGAAAGAGCCGAGCCGTAGAGACAGGTGCAGCCTGGGAGCCCGCGGAGCGGCAGCGGCAGGAACAGCAGCAGCGGCACATGTAGTAATAGGAGCAGCAGGAGCAGGCAGCAGGGACAGGCAGCAGCAGGAGCGGCAGCAGGAACAGGCAGCAGCAGGAGCGGCAGCAGGAACAGGCGGCAGCAGGAACAGGCATCAGCGGGATCAGGCATCAGTAGGAACGGCAGCAGGGACCGGCAGCAGCGGCGGTCAGAGAACCATGCCCACGGTTGTTCAACAGCCTGAGGAAATAAATCAACCCGAATCCGAAACATTCCCATGCGAATAACAGACGTCCCCTGGAGCCATCTTGCTGCTTTGGTTATGGCAGATACGCATGAACGATCACTTTTCCATGCGTTCATTAGCTCCAACTCCACTTCAAACCCATTGCAGATTCACATTGGGCCCTTTTTCTTTCTGCTGCACTTTCAAAATGCAACAACTGCAGTTTAGTTACCCAATTTAATACCAGCGACCTAGCTATTTAAATGCATGGCCCCTCTTTCCTCCCGCAGATAGACGAATTTAAATACATTCATTTAACAATAGTGACCTGCGAGTAATGAGATTAATGCTGTAAAGATGGCGCCGTGGCAAGAGCTCTGGTGTGTGCCGTCTGGAGCACAATGGGGTAGTCTTGCAAATTTTTCCAACGTGGTTTTACTGCAAGTGGCAGAACATGAATCTGAATTAATGCACATTGCTCCTCTTATATCCCTCAGACAATAGAGATTGATGCCATTTAATATGCATTGCCCCTCAGTTAGCTCAAACACGTGTGAAAACGGAGCCTGCAGACCAAGCACGGGACAAAAACCAGCCGCCTGCAGCCCAGACTCCGGGATTAATCCGTCCGCGGTCAGCACACTCACTGTACTCACATGCCAGGAGACTTGGGAAAAGCAACGGGACAACGCGGCACCGCCAATCGGAGGCAGGGACACGCACGGCACCGCCAGACCGTCTGCGCGCAGCAGTAGACCACGAGGAGACGAGCAGCACAGAGCCCGCGGAGCAGCCCGCAGGAAGAGCCCGCAGAGGAGGAGAGCAGTGGAGACACGCGAACCACAGCAGGTGCAGGGACGTGGAAGAGGAGCAGACCAAAAGCAGCCAGACTGAGGACAGCACGAGCAACACGTGAGCAGAAGCGACCCCTCCAGAACAACGCATGCATTTGCGAACAGGTGCGTTAGCGACATGCACCTTGCAGACTTCAGAAGTTTGCAGACTTCAGAAGGCCGGGAGGTGGGCATCTCCGGCTTTTAACTTGCTGTCCTGGTGGTTATTGGTTGATTAGATGTGGGCGTTGCTGGTATGATGAGTCGAGGATGAGCAGCCTGTAGATCTGGGCAAGCAGCAGCCGGGTCTACCACAGTGAACTTTCGCGAAAGCTCCATGACTCTATCTGAAATGGATGAGCACAAAACTAGAAGCAAACTAATGATTTATCCCAGATATTAATAAACCTTATATTTTAGAGTTATTATATAGAGAGTTATATTTCAGACCTTATATTTTAGAGCAAAGTGCAAGTTTCACTTGCACTTCGCATTGCCCCATTTCTGTGCCTGTTTCGTTTCTCTCCGACACATTTCTTGTTTGTTTAGCTTCAGACTGAACTGTATTTTGTTTAAAACTGGATATTCTAAAATATTTGAATATTTGCTAGACGTCACAGTTTTATTTTCAACCCTATTCTTTCAAAGAATATAAACATGAACTTAATCTACATCTGCGTAGCTAACCCGCTAGCTGAAGGAAGCCCAATAGGGAAGTGATTTAATATCTATGTCAAAGAAGTCGTCATTCATGGGGGAGACTCCAGTTTGCCAGAGCAAGCCTCTTATCACCTCGTCTGCCCCTGTTATGGCTCAAATGCCCATATAAGGAAATTTGCTTCCGCTAATGTTCAAATCGGCCTCTCCCGCATTAAGACTATCTCTGTGGGATGTCACACTCAGCCAGTCCACTCCTAAAAGCGACCTATTCAATTCAATTTCTCTTTGTATGGCCCTGAACTGGTCTAAAATATAAACATACAATATTCCTTTGGGGCAGATGCTTTTTCTCTCTAAACCTTCAGTGAATGGACCACACAGAAAGGTTTGTTTGTTCATACAGTAAAAGTCATGTAACTTCTCGCATGTTTGTCGACTGTACTTTCAGTTGGAGAGTCTCGCTCGTTCGCGGTGTACGTCTTGGGCGGAGTTTTGGCCGTGACTTTGATCGTTCCACTGTTTCTAGTATTGGCTATTTATAAGATCAAGAAGAAATGTGAGTGGAATTTTGACACTGGGTCTATATAAACTTTACAGATGTTAACTATGAAATGGTTCAGATTGGCTCACAAAAAGCAGTTTTCTACAGATACAAGCCTGGTTTTTGGAGTCTTAAATAGCCTGGTCCCATAGACTGTATATAGATGGACAATGCTCAATGAAGAACAATAGGGAAATGCTCATGGACAAAGTTTTGCTCCAACTCACTCTATGTAAAAGTAAACTCCTCGAGCTCATTAACCGATTGAGCCACAGTCATCGTTTTGGGCTTAATTTATCTTTGGTTTAGTGCTCTCTGTGATCCTGGTGTTTAATTTCTTATATATTGTCAATAAAAATCCAGATATGATATTTAAATGTTTTTTTCAAAGTACATAAAGTATAAAATATCCTGATATTGATGATTTTGACAAATTATACTGATTTGGTTCAGGGGAAAAAATCTGATAATTCGACAGATTAAAACTCATTGGACTTTAGCTGAAAATGCTAACACTGAATAAGAACATATGATTTTTGGGCCCAATGAGGTCTATTTTAAATGAGAATTGCTCTGAAATTCTTTATTAATACGTAACTAATTCTGATTCTTTTCTTTGCAGCTCAATCTTCTGTGAGCATTGAGGTAAGACACTCATGTATCACTAAACTAATATCCTATCCCTATGTATTGGCCCTATGAGTCTTACTAACACAAGTTCACATTGTCATCCAGCCAACTTCAGCTCCATCAATATAGGCCTGCTAAACCGTTTCACAAAAACATCACAAAATTTGATATTTATTTATAAATATGTCCCCCACGGGATAATTTTTGTGCCATAACGGGCAGAGGTTTTGCTACAAGGGTTGCGGAGGCAAGCTGGAGTTTCCCCACAAATGAAGGCATCTGATTGGTCAATCCTTATATGGCAAAGACAATATCACAATATAAAAAACAGGATCACAATCACAGAGAGCACAAAACCACAGGTGGTTTAGGTCCAAATTGTCGAGTTTGACACAGTTACTGAGCTAGTTTACTTTTACATGGTCAATACGAGCCAGAGCGAGTCGGAGCCAAACTTCGTCCATGAGCACTTCCCTACAGTGCCTTGCAAAAGTATTCACCTCCCTTGGCTTTTTACCTATTTTGTTACATTACAGCCTTTAGTTCAATGTTTTTTTCTAATCTGAATTTCATGTGATGGATCAGAAAACAATAGTCTAAGTTGGTGAAGTGAATTGAGAAAATATATACACAAAACTATTTTTCAGAAATAAAAACTGGAAATTGGCATGTGCATATGTATTCATCCCCTTTGTTATGAAGCCCATAAAAAGCTCTGGTGCAACCAATTACCTTCAGAAGTCACATAGATAGTGAAATGATCTGTCAGTACATATACACACCTTTTTTGAAAGGCCTCAGATGCTGCAACACCTAAGCAAGAGGCACCACTAACCAAACACTGCCATGAAGACCAGAGAATTCTCCAAACAAGTAAGGGACAGTGTTGTTGAGAAGTAAAAGTCAGGGTTAAGTTATAAAAAAATATCAAAATCTTTGACGATTCCCAGGAGCACGATCAAATCTATCATAACCCAATGGAAAGAACATGGCATAACAGCAAACCTGCCAAGAGAAGGCCGCCCACCAAAACTCACGGACCGGGCAAGGACATGCCACATGGTGGTGGCAGCATCATACTATGGGAATTTTTTTCAGCAGCGAGGACTTGGGAAACTGGTCAGAGTTGAGGGAAAGATGGATGGTGCTAAATACAGGGATATTCTTGAGCAAAACCTGTACCACTCTGTGCGTGATTTGAGGCTAGGACAGAGGTTCAACTTCCAGCAGGACAATGACCCCAAACACACTGCTAAAGCAACACAGTGGTTTAAGGGGAAACATGTAAATGTGTTGGAATGGCATAGTCAAAGCCCAGACCTCAATCCAATAGAAAATCTGTGGTCAGACTTAAAGATTGCTGTTCATAAGCTCAAACCATCCAACTGGAAGGAGCTGGAGCAGTTTTTCAAGGAGGAACGGGCAAACATCCCAGTGGTAAGATGCGGCAAGCTCATAGAGACTTATCCAAAGTGACTTGGAGCTGTGATTGCCGCAAAAGGTGGCTCTACAAAGTATTGACTTTAGGGGGGTGAATAGTTATGCACATTGACCTTTTCTGTTATTTTGTCCTATTTGTTGTTTGCTTCACAATAAAAAAGACAACATCTTAAAGTTGTGGGCATGTCCTGTAAATTAACCGATGCAAATCCTCAAACAATCCATGTTAATTCCAGGTTGTGAGGCAACAAAACACACAAAATGCCAAGGGGGGTAAATACTTTTCCAAGGCGCTGTATTGGGCTTAATTGGCTGGTTAGCATTGTCCATCTGTACACAGTGTCCTTATCAGATACCTGGGTGTAAACAGGAGTTTACTGTGTGGATTGACATCACAGTAGAATCCTAAATGTAAAGTGTATGTTGTGTTTTTGTTTTTTATGTGGTTAGAAGGAGGAGGACGTTCATTACGCCGCCTTAAAGCAACGCACTTCCAACAGGCCCAGAACAGCTGCAGGCGGAACCAACACCGAGTGTGTTTACTCCGGGGTCCGACTCTAGAATTGTGTGAAGGGAAAAGACGAGATCGGATACAAGAACCTGTATGTCCCTGTGGCCATGAAGAAGTAATGACATGTATTTAGAGATCATCTTTAGAGACAGCCTCACTCAGCCAATCAGCTTCCAGCTCAAAGAGTCAAACAGTGACTCACAAATAGGCATAGACTTCTTACAACTAGGCATAAGATCACTCATGTTTTGATAGTAATGTTTGTTTGCAATGGTTCACTTTGTTGTATTATCAAGTAGTGTCGCTAGAAGTCAGAAGATTGCAATTGTAGATTTAGATGTCTCTGTTCTGTGTGCGTGTGTGTCTGTGTTGTAAACAATTGCCAAATAAAAAATAATATTCAAATTAAAATATTTCCAGATGAACAGTGATTTTTTGAGATTACCAAACAAACCTCCAGGTTTCTACACAACTTAACCTGTGGTGTCCCTTCGGACTTCCTCCCAGACCTCTGACCTTTCTAGTGTCTTCTTGGATCTCTCTAGTGTCTCCTTGGCCTTCCTTCCTTACCTCTGACTTCTCTGGTGTCTCCTTCGCCTTCCTCCCTGACCTCTCTGGTGTCTCCTCGGCCTTCCTCAATGACCTCTCTGGTGTCTCCTCGGCCTTCCTCCCTGACCTCTCTGGTGTCTCCTTGGCCTTCCTTCCTGACCTCTAACCTCTCTGGTGTGTCCTTGGCCTTCCTCAATGACCTTTCTGGTGTGTCCTTGGCCTTCCCCCCTGACCTCTCTGGTGTGTCCTTGGCCTTCCCCCCTGACCTCTGACCTCTCTGGTGTCTCCTTCACGAGAAAAAAGATGGCGGAGCAGTGAGTGTCCCGGCTGAAACCCCCCGTGCTTTTTGCTATTAAAACTAGTCCAATCTACAATTAATCAACTTCCACAAGCCTTCCTTGCGCAAGGTAAACGTGTTGTTATTGTGAGTTGCTCTTCTTATGTCGAGCTCCACTCGTTCACAACTTAAAATGAGCAAGCGACAAATAGACGCTGAAGCCTCCACTCGTGTCCTCACTGAGGCCTATCTGGAATCTACGCTCAAAAAATTCTTCAAACGAGCTGAGGACTACTCCAAAGAGAGATTTGAGCGCCTGGAGGAACAACTTTGCTCGATCAAAGATACGTTGTCTCAGCATGCGACTGAGATTGAAACACAGCGTACTGCAGTTGCGGCCATTGATTCCCGTGTCCACCAAAACACTGCATCCCTGGTGAAACTCACGGGGGCTCTAAAACAAATGGAGCTTAAACTTGTCTCGTTTGAGGACAGAAGCAGGCGTGACAACATACGTATCCTGAACATTAAGGAAGGGGAAGAACGCGGGAATATGATGTCTTACCTTGCAGCGAATCTCCCCAAATGGCTACCTGGATTAGCCTCGTCTCAACCTGAGCTCATGCGGGGCCACCGCATGGGTCGACCGCGTCAAAACTCCTCTCCCAGGGCGATCATCGTAAAGTGTCTTCGCTTCACCAATAGAGATCGAATCCTTAACGAGGCAAGGAAAACCCCGGTGCAGCTGTCTGGGAATACCATCCGCTTTGTTCCTGACTACAGTGACAGTACATCCCAACGGAGACGTCCCTGTTATCCAGTCATGTTTCAGGCTCGGAGCAAAGGCTTCAGTGCTTTCCTGCTTTACCCTGCAACTATCAAACTGGAGAAGGGCGGCGAACAACACCTCTTTGAGAATCCTTCTGAAGCTGTGGAATTCATCTCCAAGCGTTAAACCTCCGAGAAGTACTCTCCGGTAAGACACCTCTGACTTTTTTATCAACAAGTTGTGCGCGTGGGGAGTCGTTTACTTCCGTACGTGATGACGTCACTGGCCGGTGACGCGGCACGCTTACCAGACTCTACACTGCCAATAATTTTGAACTGGACTGCATTGCTGCATACTTCACACCATATCACCACATACATTCTGTCTCCTCTTGTCCCTATATATATGCATATAGTGGTTTTTTTGTGTTATTTAAAACCAGTAAATAGTAACTGTGGATGCACATGGATCAAATGGGTTGATTATTGTTTCTCCTCTAACTAAATAAGCTTTTTTTTTTTTTTTTTTCCCTAGTTTTCTAACTGGTGTTAATTAAAATAAGTAAATAGTAACTGTGGATGCACATGGACCAAATGGGTTGAATATTGTTTTCTCGTAACTAAATAAGGATTGTTTATTTATTTATTTTTATTTTCTCTAGTTCTCTAACTTGGGATTTCAGGGAGGGGGTTTCTGGGATTTTTTGGATAGTTTGTTTTTTTGTTCTCTTCCTTATCCTTGCTCCTGCCAGTCTCTTTTTAAAGACTGACATGTCTGTCTGTGTTTGTATGAATGTGTTTCTTTGTTTTTTGTTTTTTGTTAAAGCTCCTCCATGCTCGCTTCTCCTCCTGCATTGTCACATATATCTAATGATTAATAAATGATAATGGCAACAAAGGGACTGAAAATAATTCATCTGAACATTAGGAGCATAGTGTCTAAAATGGACTCTCTCAGACTGTGGTCACATCAATACAAACCTAACATAATCACTATTTCAGAAACGCGGCTGCACAATGAAATCTCAGATGATGAGGTAAAAATTTATGGATTTGTTTTGCATAGATCGGATCGAGGTTCAAGAGGAGGTGGTGTAGCAATATATGTATCCAATAACTTAACCTCAGTTCGTGTCTTCCCAACTGTTGAGCCAGTTAACTTTGAATGTTTATCTGTTGATATTCACTTTCATGCCAACAAACATTTAACTATCACTAATATCTATAGGCCCCCGTCTGCTCCGGCTGACTCTATGAAAGATATACTCTCTACAATTAGTTCATTTAAAAAACGTAATGAAATGATCATAGTGGGTGACTTCAACAGTAACTGGCTCCACTGCTCATCCTCAAGAGAAAGAAATCTTATTAATAACGTTAATCTGACCCAACTTATCACTGAACCTACTCGAATAGATGCACGTTCCTCCTCACTACTGGATTGGATCCTGGTAACCCACCCAGACAGAATCTCCTCTTCTGGTGTCATGGCCGACTGCTTCAGCGATCATTCCATTGTATTCTGTGTCTGGAAAATAAAACTTCCCAAAGCTCCCCCAAAAACTATCACATTTAGACAAGCCAAGAATCTGAATGCAGAAATATTTATTAATGATGTATTAAATATTAACTGGGACCGGTTTCAACTCATTCCAAATGCTGAGGACGCGTGGAACTATTTTCACTCTGAATTCACCAATATTATCAACAAACACGCCCCTTTCAAAACGCTTCGTGTAAAAGGTTGACGCCTGCCCTGGATCAGTCCCGCTCTTCTTCTTCTCTGCAGAAAAAGGGACGCAGCATAGGAAAAACACAAACAAACAAAACATCCGGTTGGTTGGGAAACTTACAAATCACTCAGAAACCACTGCACAACACAAACAAGGAACTCCAAATCTGAATATTTCAAAGAGGGGTTTGCTCAAAACATGAACAACCCAAAAAAATTCTGGGCCCAACTTGATCTGGTTTTAAACAAATCTAAAAATAAACTGACTGAACATGTTGTAGTGAACAATGAAAATATATCAGATCCAATCAAAATATCTCAAGCATTTAACGAACATTTCTCTTCCATAAACAGAATAATCCCTAACAACTGTGTCTGGTGATTGCCAAAATACATCTCATGCTGGTCCCTCTTTCTCGTTCTCAAAAATATCTCCACTTACTGTTTATACTTGTTTAAATGAATTAAAACCAAACTGCGGAGCTGGTCCAGACAATCTTGAAGTTAAGTTTCTGAAAATTGCTGCTCACGTCCTTATGTTTCCTTTATCCGACCTCTTTAATCTGTCAATAAAAACCTCAACAATTCCATCAGTTTTTAAAACTGCCAGAGTCACTCCTGTTTTCAAAGGAGGCGATCCCTCAGACCTGAACAACTACAGGCCAATATCCATCATCTGCGCAGCTGCTAAGCTTTTTGAAAAAATTATATTCCAACAGTCAAATCATTACATGAATGAGTTCAATATTCTTTCTCCTTTTCAGTCTGGTTTTCGTTCAGGGTTTTCTACAACTACTGCTCTATTAAAATTCAAGAATGATGTTTTTTGTTCTTTTGATAAAAATATGTTTGTGGGCTCTATATTTTGAGAGGGGTTGGACGCTCCACTTTTCTGGAGTTTCCCGCGGGGAGAGGCGGCGAGCGGGGGTGGCCATTCTCATTGCCCCCCATCTCAGCCGCCACGTGTTGGAGTTCTCCCCGGTGAATGAGAGGGTCGCGTCCCTCCGCCTCCGGGTGGGGGACAAGTCTCTGACTGTTGTGACGGCCTACGGGCCTAACGGTAGTGCAGAGTACCCGGCCTTCTTGGAGTCCTTGGGAGGGGTACTGGATAGTGCACCGCCCGGGGACTCCGTTATTCTCCTGGGGGACTTCAACGCCCATGTGGGAAATGCCAGTGACACTTGGAGAGGGGTGATCGGGAAGAACGGCCCCCCTGATCTGAACCCGAGCGGTGCTCAGTTGTTGGACTTCTGTGCCAGTCACGGCCTGTCCATCACGAACACCATGTTCGAGCACAAGGGTGTCCATCAGTGCACGTGGCACCAGGACACCCTAGGCCGGAGGTCGATGATCGACTTTGTTGTCGTATCATCTGACCTTCGACCGCGTGTCTCGGACACTCGGGTGAAGAGAGGGGCGGAGCTGTCAACCGATCATCACCTGGTCGTGAGTTGGATCCGCTGGCAGGGCAGGAGGCCGGTCAGACCTGGCAGGCCCAAGCGTGTAGTGAGGGTTTGCTGGGAACGTCTTGCTGAGCCCCCTGTCAGACGGACTTTCAACTCACACCTCCGGGAGAGCTTCTCCCAGGTCCCGGCGGAGGAGGGGGACATCGAGTCCGAGTGGACCATGTTCTCTTCCTCTATCGCCAATGCTGCGGCTCATAGCTGTGGTCGCAAGGTCTCTGGTGCTGGTCCCGGCGGCAATCCCCGAACCCGGTGGTGGACACCGGCAGTAAGAGATGCCGTCAGGCTGAAGAAGGAGTCCTATCGAGCAATGATGGTTCGTGGGACTCCTGAGGCAGCTGTCCAGTACCGGCAGGCCAAACGTGCCGCGGCCCGGGCTGTTGCAGAGGCAAAAACCCGGGACTGGGAGGAGTTCGGAGAGTCCATGGAGCATGACTATCGGTCGGCCTCGAAGAGGTTCTGGCAAACCGTCCGGCGCCTCAGGAGGGGAAAGCAGTTCTTTGCCAACACCGTGTATGGTGCGGGTGGAGGGCTGCTGACCTCGACTGGGGATATTGTCGGGCGGTGGAAAGAATACTTCGAGGTTCTCCTCAATCCCCCCGCCACGTCCTCCGTCCAGGAGGCAGAGGCTGAGGATGTTGGGGCGGACACTTCTATCTCCCTGGCCGAGGTCACCAAGGTGGTTGGCAGCCTCCATGGTGGCAAGGCGCCGGGAGTGGATGAGATCCGTCCTGACTATCTAAAGTCTCTGGATGTTGTAGGACTGTCTTGGCTGACACGTCTCTGCAGCATCGCGTGGCGATTGGGGGCGGTGCCAATGGAGTGGCAGACCGGGGTGGTGGTCCCTCTCTACAAGAAGGGGGACCGGAGGTTGTGTTCCAATTATCGTGGGATCACACTCCTCAGCCTCCCCGGTAAGGTCTACTCCAAGGTACTGGAGAGGAGGCTACGTCCGATGGTCAAATCTCGGATTCAGGAGGAGCAGTGTGGTTTTCGTCCCGGTCGCGGAACACTGGACCAGCTCTATACTCT